TCTGGTTTGGGTCATTCTTCACTTCTTTAGGCAATATTGGTCGGTGAGTTTTTAATTTCAGGCCTTGGTTTCCGCCGGTTTGTGTTTTGGCCGAGATTGGTATATTCGGTCGGCCAAAATGTGGTGCTGTGAACTACAGAACAAACCGTCAAAATTTCATGACCTATATTGAAATTTCATCGACCAACCTGGTATTTTATGCCTCTGGTGAAGTTTGGGAGCATTTGACGAGCGGATTGAGACTTCCTTCACAAAATGGTCAAGTCGGCTCCGGGAAGGAGTTTCCTTGGCCATGTGAAGTTTGGCTCGTTCCTTTTCGTTTCTTCCTGCATAAAAGTGTTAGTTAAGCTCAAAGAAGAGTTTTCCAACCGGTTGGCGCGCCTATGCCGTGATTTGGTTTTGTCGGCCATATTGCTTGCGCGCCATCGGCCAGAATGAGCTCCGTCGTCTATCTCATGATCCGTGATGATTTCTCCGTCCTATCTTTTGGATTTGCCGACCAAAATGTGATTTTATGGTCGCCTGTGAAGTTTGGTGGACTTTGGTCACGCCGTTTAGGAGTTGGCCGTAATTGGTCTCCTTGTGCGCGGTATGGCCGAGAGAAATGTCCGGATTGAATTTCTTCAAATCCACTCGGGCCAATTGAGATTTTCTTCGACCGAATTGTTTTAATAACCCTCCTGTGTCATTCCCAAGTGGTGGCCGCCTTGTTTCGTGTGATGGCCTATGTATCTCCTTTTAACCTCCCTTTGGCCGCCATATGCATGTTGGTTTTGAGGTGGTTGATAGGTTTGCTATTTCTCCTTCCTGTCAAATGGTTAACTCCTTGCAAAACACTTGAAATCATGATTAGATGGTTTCTCAGATTGTGATCCTCAAGTGACCAACTTGAAGTTCACAATCCAAGAGATTAAAGCACAAACTATAAATTCTTATTTGGTCTTGGTCAATGATCCAAATTTCAAACTATAGTTCAATCTCTTGTAATTTCAGTGAGCGAAATGAGTTTTGACAAGTGATTATGTATTCTTTCCAATCATCAAATGTAAATCAAGTTAAACCATGAAATATATTTGTATAAAGTGCAATGGTTTAAACGATTTTTCAAGTGAAGATCAAGAGTGATTAGAAATGAATACTAGGTGAGAGTTTACTTACCTTTTGGAAGAGAAACGCCTTGTACAAGGGTGGGCTCATTGGGTGGGACACTTCATTGTTTGGTCTCCTTTGGGTCTTCATCCTAAGAAAATATTTTTGTATTTTTGTTTGATTTTTGAAAAACTCCTGCAAAATAGAAATAGATAGTTAAAAACCATATGGGTTGCCTCCCATAAAGCGCTTTTGTTTTAAGTCATTTAGCTTGACTCCTTCTCTTTCTTTCAATCGTGGTGAAGAGTGGCTGAAGGGCAAAGGATCCCTTTAGCTTCTCCATTCTCCGGTTCAGTGGCTTCTTGTGGTGGTGTTGTCGCGCCATGATCATCTCTCACATCATCCTTGAAAACCAATGCCTTGGGGAAAAGCTTCATAGTTCTCTCAAGCTTCTCTTCAATGGATTGGTCACCTTTAAGCTCCGAATCTTTTGGTGTAAAGATTCTTATCTTGTGAAAGAGATTAGGTGCACCATTAGTCTCCTCTTCAGCTCCATACTCGTCAAAGGTTGGAAGTAAGATGGAGTTGATTCTTAAAGACATTTTCATGCCTCGGCTCCAATGTTTTCTTCTTCTCCTTTGGTTTTGGGTAGCGCTCACTCTCTCTTCTTTCTCCATGCAGCATAGCTTCTTTCTTAGGTAATGAGAGTGGCTTCTTCTGGTGGTAGCTTGGTCGCACTTGGCACTGACCTGAAATTTACACTTGGGAAAAAGATATCTTGCCGGATGTGGCCAAAAGATAGATGATTCCCAAAGTAGTTTAGGACCGCTCCAGCTGTAGCAAGGAATGGGGTTCCAAGAATCAGTTGATTCCTCTTTGAGCCTTCCCAAATCATGACTTGAAAGTCAGTTGGGACCGATCGACCCCCTATTTCCATCATGACATCTTCAAGCATTCCATAAGGTTCCATGCACGATAGATCCGCGAACTCAACTCTTATCTTGGGGCTCTTGAATTCCTTGAATCCCAAGTCTTTTGCAAGTGCAAGAGACATTAGATTAACATTAGCACCAGTATCACATAGGCAATCATGGAGTTGAATACCATTGATACTTGAAGTTATCACAAACTTCCCCGGATCTTCTTGTTTTTGTAGTGGCTTGCCTTCAAGTCTTCTCTTGTAAGCTCTTCTTGATTCCCAACTGTATCTCTCCGGTTTGTGCCTCTCCTCAGGCTCATTTTCTTCTTCTTCCCCTTGAGATGGTGTAGGAACAAGTTTGCTATCTATAGATGAGACAACACTACAAAATTTTGAGTGTTTACCTCATTTTGCTTCTTGGCCGCCTCGGCTGTTTGAGCGATTTGCACCTCAAGCTTTTGAACGTGAGTAGAGAGAGACCCAAACTTGCTGCTTAGATCACCAAACATGTGATCAAGCTTCTCATATAGGTTCTTGGTGATCAATCTTTGCTCCTCCATGTATTTCTTCAAGGCCACGTCAACTTTCTCTCCGGTTTGGGCTGGATTTGTTTCTTGAGAAAAAGTGAACGGCTGCTTCACTTGGTACATCCCTCTTGGGTAGACTTATTGTGGCTTGGATTGGTATTGGCCTCCTTGATATGCTCCTTGATTGGGGTTGTAACACCCCCGAACCGTCCTAGGCACAGACGTTCCGAGAAGCGCCACAAAATGTCGATGTTCGCCGAATAGGCCATCCCAGACTAAGAACAAATCAGAGCCCAGGTCAGCCCGTTCCACGAACTCGACCCTCTTGACCAAAGCCTAAGGCTTGCCAACCCGTACTTCGGTCAGGAGTTGTGTTAGCCCGGACCAAGCTAATATCATTGGAACATAAGGTCTTTACATAAAACTTTCCTTTATTAAAATATCAGAGTGCTTACAAAATCCGACTTAAAAACATGCGGATCGATCCTTAGTTCCAAACCAAACAACAAACCATTATTTTACAAAAACATACCACAAAACTATTATGGCGCCTACTGCCTGCAGCGGTCCGCTCTACTTCACACCTCTACGGTCACCTGAAAACATTAAACAAAAGGAATGAGTAATCTAATATTACTCAGTGAGTCTAGGACCTCTATACAAGGGGGATTCCCTAAACTCCAAACACAAACGCCGCGGGATAAGAGCCCCGCCTTCACCTGCATTGAGGTTAGTACACAACCTGCATAACATATGCAATCACACACAATAATGATGCTATAGCCTTAAGACTAACCGTACCCCAATCAAACAAGAACAGGTACGATCAATCCAAGACTATAACATACAAACAAGCAATCTATATGCAATGCCCATGCAAACCTAGACAAGTATCTAATACTTGTTTTCTATATGCAATAAGGCGCCTAGGTGCATTAGCCACATTCTCTGCCCACGCCTGTGAAGGTTCACGCTCATCCGGAATCACACAGAAACTAGATGAACGCCTTCACCCGGGCACTACAGTCCATCGCGGTACCCGGTTCATCCTTCCATCTATTGGCCTTACTGGCGCACCATGCCAATGTCTGGTTGGATCCCATATCGTCATATGGTACCATACTCGGCCAAGGCAGCTGACCAGGTTATCCTCCGAGTCTTCCTCCCTTCATGCACAGCCTCCTCGCTGCCAATCCGGTTGGGCTCTGACGTGCGAGAATGCGCTTGACTACACCTTCCTAGACAACATGTGGTTAGACACGCCACATGTTCTCAGTACTTAGCATATGGGCCTTTACGCACCACTATGCCTCATACCCTCGGTTCTGCGGCAGAGCTTCCCTTGCCTCGGAAGAGTACCCACACGAACCTCGAAAGATCTGGCGGCTCAGCCGTCCGTGATCTTTCCACATCGGAGTCATACTCAACATATGGGCCTTACGCACCACCATGTTAGCATGCACTCGAGGTTTAGCGGCATAGCCATGCTATAACCCCACAACCGATGCATCTATGAGATTTGGCGGCATAGCCATCCACAATCTCACATCACCTAATGTATAGATATGCATCTACACTAACAAGATCTGATGGCATAACCTTCCCCGAAGGTTACCCATCACAATCTTACACAGAAAAGAGATCTGTTGGCATATCCTTCCCGGAAGGTTACCCAACACAACCTCACACACAAAAGAGATCTGGCGGCCTAACCTTCCCGAAGGTTACCCGACACAACCTCACAACACAAGAGATTGACGGCATAACTTCTCTCCCTAGAAGATTACCCATCACAACCTCACAACAATGCAAACCTGCATATAAACACACAAGAGATCTGACGGCATAACTTCTCTTCTAGAAGATTATCCATCACAACCTCACAACACATTATATAAATTTCTGCAGCATAACTCTCCACAATTTTTACTAAACCTTATTGTTTAGAGAGTTATACTACAGAACCAATAACCAATATGAACAGAAAGCATCTCCTATGCTTTGGTGTTCATACAACCTGCATACACAAACAAAGATCCAAAAGACTAAAACTATAACACCAAGACTCACCACTTTAAGAAGACTTCAAGATCCTCCTAGCTTTCCTTAAGCTTTGATCTTGACCTACTCTAATCTTCCACTAACCTCACTTAATTAAGAAAACTTTCTTAATTACTCTCTAATCACTTTTCAGGTGCTCTCTAGCTTTGGGAATGGAATGGTTTGGACTTGGGGTGGAGGAGCGTATTTATAGGAGTTCAGGAGGCTGCCTGGCTTCTTGGGACGTCTCCAGTCATGCGCAGACACATGGAGACCTAGGCCTAGCATAGCTTTGCTTGGTGGCAACCTACACTGCCTCAGAACGCGACATCCAGGCGTCTAGGCTAGGTAGCTTTGATTGGTGGCCTCTAGGGCGTCTCAGGACATGACACACGTCATTCCTATCCCCTCTCAATGCTCATCCAATGAGCCGACTTCCCCCAAGCATGTGGTGTGATCGTCCGATTGGTTATAACTCATCTTATCCATTAAGATGCTGGGTGCTTCTGTCTGATTGGTCAGCTCTTGATCCAATCCGTTTCTGCATCTCTCCACTTGCTTCTCATCCACTCCTGAAGCTTCTCCTCTCTCTCAGTGGTTGGTGTTGCATCCTGATTCGTCCAAGTCCATTTCGTCACCATTGAGCACTTCTGTGTCTCCGTCTGATTGGTTTGGACAATCCTTGTCTTTCATGAGCAGCTGGGTGTCTCTCCCTGATAGCATTAGGTATTCTTGGAGTTTATCCACGCCCTCTCTCCTCCATAGCAGCTGGTGTCGTTGCCCAATTGGTTTAGGCTTGCTTCGTCTTCATTCAGTAGCTGGATGTTGCTACATGATTGGCCCGTCTTAGAAGCTGCTGTGTATCTCCATTTGATTCGTCCATTTCTGGATAAGATCATCCAATAAGAATGCTTATCCACGGCCTCACTCTCTCCTAGCAGGTAGTGTTGACGCACGATTGGTCCAACACAATTTCGTCCCATTCCAATAGCTCAATGTCTCTACTTGATTGGCTGAATGGTTTTGGCTCCATTGTAGTAGCTGCATGTCTTCTCCATATTGGTTATGATCATCCTTATCTTCTCCAAGTAGCTGGTGTCACCACTTGATTGGCTTAGAACAAGATTGCTCCAATGTACGTTTCCTCGTCCAGAGGGTTTCGTACGTTTCCCTGTCCGGAGGGTTTCGTCCCCGTCGTGCTTGAGAATTAAAATCTCCTATTTTAATCCTTCTCTCATTTCCATGTTTCTGAGCTTCCACATAGTTGCTTGGAAATGTGCGGAATACCTCCATCCCGAACATTTACGTTCTTGCAGTCGTTGCGGGATAGATCTTGGGCGTTCGTCCCATCTCTCAATCTGCTCGTCCGATTTGCATTCTGCTTCGACCAAACTTCTTAGAATGGTCTCTTATGTCGTCCAAACTCTTCTCTTCTTGATTTGGAGAACTTTGATATTTCGTCGTCCTGTTGACTCTTCCCATGTTCGTACAATGATCGTCCCACCTGGACAATCTTGCTGTATCTTCACTTCTGCTCGATCGTTCTTGATCCTGTCTTGATCCAAGTCTTCGTTGTGATCTCTGGATTAGATCCCACGTCTTTGTCTTCCAATCCCAGAGTGTTGATCTTCCCATCCCGGCCTTTGGGATGTTTTAGGTCTTGATACGGGGTATCACATTCTCCCCCCCTTAATAGAATTCGTCCCCGAATTCCAGTTGTAGAGAGTGGGAACGTTCCATTGTTCCGGTTTCTCTCCCCATCTTTGAAGATGCCTTGCCTCCTCTTACTCTGTCTTCACGTTGTCCCCTTGCAGACTCCTCTTACTCTGTCTTCACGTTGTCCCCTTGCAGACTCCTCTTCCACTGATCTCCTCTGATCCTCCTTGCTCAAATCTCCATTCCCATAACCATCCATCCCGGCTTTAACTATGGGTTATCTAATGTCAAAACCGTACCTTACCAACACTTCCTTGTTGGTCTTGATCCCGGTCTGACCACTCTAGCGAGGTTCTCCTAACTTCGCTAACCACCTAATCACTTACTCAAGGATTTTTCCGCAGTAGCTTTATTTCCCTCTTGGAAACAGCATTCACGGAAATTCCTTCTATTAACACATCGCTTCCCTTTAAGGGTTCCACTCGATGTGCTAATACCCAAAACTACTTTACCAGAACCAACTTGGTTCCAAGGATATCCGCTCTAGTTTCATTTCCCTCATGGAAATAGAAACATCGGAATCTCCTTTCACCACATCGTTTCCCAAAACATGGGTTTCCTAAACGATGTCTCTCCGGTACCTTCCTCCGTGGTTTGGTTAAGATCCGGTATTTGATATTCATTGCCTGCCACCGAGTTTGGTGCATCTTGTTCTCCATACATTGTACACCATATCGCATTAGCTTCTCCTTGATCTTGAGGTATGCTTCCTTCTCCATGCTCCATTGATGATGTGTATCCAGCGATCTCGTTGAGTTTCCTTGTCCAGTACGTGGGTGATACGTTCTGGTGTCCAAGATAATCCTCCCATGTTGGTTCCGGCGTATCCGGTTCTTCAGGTTGGTTTGTGAAGACTTCACTATTGACTTGAACTGCAACGGCTGGATCATTGCTTTCTACGCCACTGGTAATGAACGGGTACACGTAGTCCGTTGGATTCTCCTCCGTTGGCATGTACGGGTATACTCCACCTCCCGGTGCAAATACATGCGGCATTGGTATATGCGGTAGAACACTTGGTGGACTATCTCTATCCCAAGAGTTTGGTGTAGTCTCGCCTGAACTGATCTCTATGATTTGGGTAGATGGCACCATACTCTCTCCTCCTCAGGGTAATGTACTGGATGTCATGTGTTCGCCATACTCATTCACCGTTGTGCTGGGCTGCACGTTGTCTCTCGGCATAAGATATACGTCCTCGTCCCAATCACTGCTGCTATCATGATCTGTTAGTGTCTGCTGTTCCAAGTCCGTCACTACGATCCAGTGCTCCGAATTGCTCGACGGTTCTGAACTCGACGATCCAGACTCCACTGTCCACTTGCCCAGTACTAAACCACGACCCCTCATCATCCACAAACCAGTCACTCATGACTTCAAGCTATCACCACAAAGCAAACATTAGGGTTCCTATTCAACACAATCTATCCCATGGATGATCCGCATCCATCTATTCTATGGATGATCAACACCCATAGACACCTCAAACATGGCTTACCACATTGCACAATGTTACCATAACCTCTATACTGACCATGCAACAATCAAACAAGAACATGCATGATCAATCAGAAATTATAAGCAACATCAAGCAATGCTTAACCACAACCTAAACATTCTACCTATATGCTGCAGACAGACCAGATTACCTAAGGTAGTTTTTGCGACTCCTTTTTGACTCGATAAAACGTTTTAAAATCCTTGTTCCCGAGCATGATCATGAACCATGCTCTGATACCACCATTTGTAACACCCCCGAACCGTCCTAGGCACAGACGTTCCGAGAAGCGCCACAAAATGTCGATGTTCGCCGAATAGGCCATCCCAGACTAAGAACAAATCAGAGCCCAGGTCAGCCCGTTCCACGAACTCGACCCTCTTGACCAAAGCCTAAGGCTTGCCAACCCGTACTTCGGTCAGGAGTTGTGTTAGCCCGGACCAAGCTAATATCATTGGAACATAAGGTCTTTACATAAAACTTTCCTTTATTAAAATATCAGAGTGCTTACAAAATCCGACTTAAAAACATGCGGATCGATCCTTAGTTCCAAACCAAACAACAAACCATAATTTTACAAAAACATACCACAAAACTATTCTGGCGCCTACTGCCTGCAGCGGTCCGCTCTACTTCACACCTCTACGGTCACCTGAAAACATTAAACAAAAGGAATGAGTAATCTAATATTACTCAGTGAGTCTAGGACCTCTATACAAGGGGGATTCCCTAAACTCCAAACACAAACGCCGCGGGATAAGAGCCCCGCCTTCACCTGCATTGAGGTTAGTACACAACCTGCATAACATATGCAATCACACACAATAATGATGCTATAGCCTTAAGACTAACCGTACCCCAATCAAACAAGAACAGGTACGATCAATCCAAGACTATAACAACATACAAACAAGCAATCTATATGCAATGCCCATGCAAACCTAGACAAGTATCTAATACTTGTTTTCTATATGCAATAAGGCGCCTAGGTGCATTAGCCACATTCTCTGCCCACGCCTGTGAAGGTTCACGCTCATCCGGAATCACACAGAAACTAGATGAACGCCTTCACCCGGGCACTACAGTCCATCGCGGTACCCGGTTCATCCTTCCATCTATTGGCCTTACTGGCGCACCATGCCAATGTCTGGTTGGATCCCATATCGTCATATGGTACCATACTCGGCCAAGGCAGCTGACCAGGTTATCCTCCGAGTCTTCCTCCCTTCATGCACAGCCTCCTCGCTGCCAATCCGGTTGGGCTCTGACGTGCGAGAATGCGCTTGACTACACCTTCCTAGACAACATGTGGTTAGACACGCCACATGTTCTCAGTACTTAGCATATGGGCCTTTACGCACCACTATGCCTCATACCCTCGGTTCTGCGGCAGAGCTTCCCTTGCCTCGGAAGAGTACCCACACGAACCTCGAAAGATCTGGCGGCTCAGCCGTCCGTGATCTTTCCACATCGGAGTCATACTCAACATATGGGCCTTACGCACCACCATGTTAGTATGCACTCGAGGTTTAGCGGCATAGCCATGCTATAACCCCACAACCGATGCATCTATGAGATTTGGCGGCATAGCCATCCACAATCTCACATCACCTAATGTATAGATATGCATCTACACTAACAAGATCTGATGGCATAACCTTCCCCGAAGGTTACCCATCACAATCTTACACAGAAAAGAGATCTGTTGGCATATCCTTCCCGGAAGGTTACCCAACACAACCTCACACACAAAAGAGATCTGGCGGCCTAACCTTCCCCGAAGGTTACCCGACACAACCTCACAACACAAGAGATCTGACGGCATAACTTCTCTCCCTAGAAGATTACCCGTCACAACCTCACAACAATGCAAACCTGCATATAAACACACAAGAGATCTGACGGCATAACTTCTCTTCTAGAAGATTATCCATCACAACCTCACAACATATTATATAAATTTCTGCAGCATAACTCTCCACAATTTTTACTAAACCTTATTGTTTAGAGAGTTATACTACAGAACCAATAACCAATATGAACAGAAAGCATCTCCTATGCTTTGGTGTTCATACAACCTGCATACACAAACAAAGATCCAAAAGACTAAAACTATAACACCAAGACTCACCACTTTAAGAAGACTTCAAGATCCTCCTAGCTTTCCTTAAGCTTTGATCTTGACCTACTCTAATCTTCCACTAACCTCACTTAATTAAGAAAACTTTCTTAATTACTCTCTAATCACTTTTCAGGTGCTCTCTAGCTTTGGGAATGGAATGGTTTGGACTTGGGGTGGAGGAGCGTATTTATAGGAGTTCAGGAGGCTGCCTGGCTTCTTGGGACGTCTCCAGTCATGCGCAGACACATGGAGACCTAGGCCTAGCATAGCTTTGCTTGGTGGCAACCTACACTGCCTCAGAACGCGACATCCAGGCGGTCTAGGCTAGGTAGCTTTGATTGGTGGCCTCTAGGGCGTCTCAGGACATGACACACGTCATTCCTATCCCCTCTCAATGCTCATCCAATGAGCCGACTTCCCCCAAGCATGTGGTGTGATCGTCCGATTGGTTATAACTCATCTTATCCATTAAGATGCTGGGTGCTTCTGTCTGATTGGTCAGCTCTTGATCCAATCCGTTTCTGCATCTCTCCACTTGCTTCTCATCCACTCCTGAAGCTTCTCCTCTCTCTCAGTGGTTGGTGTTGCATCCTGATTCGTCCAAGTCCATTTCGTCTCCATTGAGCACTTCTGTGTCTCCGTCTGATTGGTTTGGACAATCCTTGTCTTTCATGAGCAGCTGGGTGTCTCTCCCTGATAGCATTAGGTATTCTTGGAGTTTATCCACGCCTCTCTCTCCTCCATAGCAGCTGGTGTCGTTGCCCAATTGGTTTAGGCTTGCTTCGTCTTCATTCAGTAGCTGGATGTTGCTACATGATTGGCCCGTCTTAGAAGCTGCTGTGTATCTCCATTTGATTCGTCCATTTCTGGATAAGATCATCCAATAAGAATGCTTATCCACGGCCTCACTCTCTCCTAGCAGGTAGTGTTGACGCACGATTGGTCCAACACAATTTCGTCCCATTCCAATAGCTCAATGTCTCTACTTGATTGGCTGAATGGTTTTGGCTCCATTGTAGTAGCTGCATGTCTTCTCCATATTGGTTATGATCATCCTTATCTTCTCCAAGTAGCTGGTGTCACCACTTGATTGGCTTAGAACAAGATTGCTCCAATGTACGTTTCCTCGTCCAGAGGGTTTCGTACGTTTCCCTGTCCGGAGGGTTTCGTCCCCGTCTTGCTTGAGAATTAAAATCTCCTATTTTAATCCTTCTCTCATTTCCATGTTTCTGAGCTTCCACATAGTTGCTTGGAAATGTGCAGAATACCTCCATCCCGAACATTTACGTTCTTGCAGTCGTTGCAGGATAGATCTTGGGCGTTCGTCCCATCTCTCAATCTGCTCGTCCGATTTGCATTCTGCTTCGACCAAACTTCTTAGAATGGTCTCTTATGTCGTCCAAACTCTTCTCTTCTTGATTTGGAGAACTTTGATATTTCGTCGTCCTGTTGACTCTTCCCATGTTCGTACAATGATCGTCCCACCTGGACAATCTTGCTGTATCTTCACTTCTGCTCGATCGTTCTTGATCCTGTCTTGCTTGACCCGGACCAAGCTAATATCATTGGAACATAAGGTCTTTACATAAAACTTTCCTTTATTAAAATATCAGAGTGTTTACAAAATCCGACTTAAAAAACATGCGGATCGATCCTTAGTTCCAAACCAAACAACAAACCATAATTTTACAAAAACATTCCACAAAACTATTCTGGCGCCTACTGCCTGCAGCGGTCCGCTCTACTTCACACCTCTACGGTCACCTGAAAACATTAAACAAAAGGAATGAGTAATCTAATATTACTCAGTGAGTCTAGGACCTCTATACAAGGGGGATTCCCTAAACTCCAAACACAAACGTTGCGGGATAAGAGCCCCGCCTTCACCTGCATTGAGGTTAGTACACAACCTGCATAACATATGCAATCACACACAATAATGATGCTATAGCCTTAAGACTAACCGTACCCCAATCAAACAAGAACATGTACGATCAATCCAAGACTATAGCAACATACAAACAAGCAATCTATATGCAATGCCCATGCAAACCTAGACAAGTATCTAATACTTGTTTTCTATATGCAATAAGGCGCCTAGGTGCATTAGCCACATTCTCTGCCCACGCCTGTGAAGGTTCACGCTCATCCGGAATCACACAGAAACTAGATGAACGCCTTCACCCGGGCACTACAGTCCATCGCGGTACCCGGTTCATCCTTCCATCTATTGGCCTTACTGGCGCACCATGCCAATGTCTGGTCGGATCCTGATATACCTCTATTTTACCTACTTTTTATGCTATTTTACTATGGTTTTCTAATGGTTTTCTAGTGGATTCTTGTGTTAAAAGGTAGTTTTTATGGATTTATAGTGCAAAGAGTCATTTTAGGTAAAAAGGTGCATTATGGAGCAAAACAGGAGATTTGGACTCTAAACCAGTTCAATGCCCCTGCATCAACTTTGGATGGAGCTAGAAAAAGATCTACTCAATGGATTTCATCAAGACCAGTTCCCTGCGTGCTCTGATTGAGTTAACTTTCCAACGCAACTGGAACGGCCTAATTTGGATGAGTAGAAAAGGAGTTATAGCCAAAAGAGTGAAGGCTGCTCCAGACGGCCATATCGAGAATCAGCGCCAACCGCGCAGACCGGCTGGCCGAGGAACGAATGTTCCGCGCTCGGCCAAACCATGTCCGTCCGACTGAAGTCTCGGCCAAAGTCCAAACCGCTCGGCCGATCACGCATCACGACCCGGGAAACTCAACCCGCGGTCGGCCAGCCACAACCGGCCACGCCACAACCGCGCACGACCAAAGCGCGCGAGCCGGGAGTAACGCCTCGCGGCCGCGCAACTCCTCACGTACCGGCACGAACGCTCCGTCCGACCCGGGAAACTATGCCCGCGTCCGGCCGAAGATTTCCATCGGCCAATTCCTATCCGCCCGACCACGCCGGCCGACGTCATAACATCCGGCCCCGACCGTTCCGACTCGGCCAAAGACCCGACTGTCCGGCCGATCGTCCCGACCGACCGTCCGAACGCCGCGGTCGACCCGAAGCCGTTTTTGAAGCCCAATCCGCACAATTCAAGCCCAAAGCCGGCGCCGACCTAGCTAGATTAGGTTTAGCCGTCTTCTTATACTTAGAGCATTATAAATACTTCTTTTTAGCCTTGTAACTCAAGAAGGAGAGAGACCACAATCTATTTTACATCTTAATAAAGTTTTGCTTGCTTTTACTTTGTTCTTGCTTGTTACTCTTTCTAGAGAGGATTCGAATCTCTGTTCTTATGAATATGAATTCGTTTCCTTCTCTATGTCTGAGTAGTTTACTTGTTAAGTGATAGGAAGTCAAAGGATAGCATTCATGTATGCTTGATGATTGATCACAATTAGGGTTTTACTTATAATCTCCATCTTTGCTTATACTTAATGCTTGTTGTTAATCTGGCCAATTAGCATATGCCTTTAGGTTGATTTGAGCCTCGACAGTGCTGTATCATTCGCCTGAACTAGTATTTGGTGGGCAATCTCTTTTAGACTGCGACAGTTGATCTACTTGTAGGTTGTGAACAATTGATCTTGATCGAACTAATGCTTGATTTAATCACCTAGGGACATACCAAAAGTTTAGCGACTAGGTAGATTAACAAAGGGGTCGGAGCCTCGACAGTGGAATGATCATACCATAGTGTTTCAAGTTCTAGATTAGCACCTAAGTGCGGTAACCCTAATTGATTGATTTCATGCTTCTTGAATTGCTTATCTCAAGACTATCCTATTGCTTAGCCTTTCTCTCCTATTGAATCCTTCTTTATTACTTGCATGCTTTACTTTCTCTGCACTCAACCAACTTATACTTTTGCCCTAGCTTGTTCTCAAACTCATAACTTGTAGTGTGCAATCTGGTCCTTGTGTTCGATACCCGTTTACTACTTCTGACCTGTGCACTTGCAGAATCAGGGATAGGAAAGGGGAAGACCTGATCCCGCGATCAAGTTTTTGGCGCCGTTGCCGGGGACCAATTCGCACCTACAAGTCTTGCAAGAGAGCTAGTCTAGGGTTTTCACTTTTCCTTTTTGTTTTTGTTATTTCCTTTTTCCTTGATTTTGTTTTTCCTTTTTTGGTTTTTCCTTTTTGTTTTTAGCTTTTCAGGTTTTCCTAGTTAGATATGGAGAAGGAGCCACAAGCCTCTTCCCCTATAAAGGCGATGCCAATTCGCCACATACCACCTCAAAGCCACCTCTTGAGCGAACAAGAGATGGGGGACTTTGTGAAAGTGGTGGACTTTCACAAAGTGAGTTTATAGTGTTGTTCTTTTTTCACTTACCCTCTTTCTATAATTCCCTATTACCTTATTCTTTTTTTTTACTATATTCTTCTTTATTTACTTCTCTCACAACAATAGTGCTATGTCTATTTAAAATAAGGAAAAGGGAAAGAGAGACATGAACAGTTTCAAAATTTGCAGAGGTTCAGATCCCAACTTTTGTTGTTCGATTTGAATATGACTTGAACATCACCTCTTAAAATACAATCGCTGCCAAATTTCAATAAAACGAAATGGATTAGACGAGACTAAAGCCAGATTTCAACAAAATGAAATGGATTTGGGCGAATTTGAAGCCAGATTTCAACATAATAAAATGGGTTGGACGAGATTGAAACCGTACAACGTGTAATGAGAAACCATCCATAACCAAGCGTTCACAGTTAAAGTATCCACACTTGGATGTTTTTATATGCCTGTTTGGATGTTTTCGTTGTGGATACTTATATGCTAATACGCTTGGACACTTTTAGTTGTTTTAATATTTGAGTTTGGATACTTTTACTATGCACAACCTCACTTTGAATACCTAGCTTGCACATAATTTTGTACTGAATGAATATCATTCTTAATTTTGCTCCACTTTACCTTAAACATCAATACATAACTATATGGATACTCAGCTTGACAAAAAAAAAATGTAAGTGTACAAGTCCAACGATGTAAGTGTACAAAATTCAATTGTACATATCCAACAATGTAAGTGTACAAATTCGTCAAATACCATCCACCACCAACCATCTAAAGTAATCATATTTTCACTCTTTTTATAGTAAGGGTAAATTCGAATTTTTAACACACTAAGCTCCAAAAAAAAGTCCACCAGTTTCAATAAGTCCCTCTTTTTATAAAGAGAACTCAAAAAGTCACCCATAGTGTAAATCACTCTACTTTGTCCTCATCAACATCCAAAGTAGATTGAGTTTCTATCATAACTTCGTACGTCAGACAGAATTGTATTTAACAAAATTGTACGTTAGTTTTATAAAGAGCCCTTTTATAAATTGTGAAACATAGTAAAAAAATAAAATAATTCAGATTAGTTTTCATTGGGTGGGGTGTGGAAGGAAACAGAATGTAGAGCGGGATTTGGTTGGTACAATTTTGACTCAGATTCGGGTGCCACCTTAGTCGGTGCTTATAATCTCCGGCGGGGTTTATCCCTTTTACAGACAGAATTGGAAACTTTAGTGTGGGCAATGCAAAGTATGCTAGTTCACAATAAAAGGCAAATGAATTTTCAAACAGACTGCAGATTTGGTGAAGATGGTGTCCAAACCCAGAGACTGGCCGGCTTTTGAGATTCTGCTTGAAGAAGTGGAAAAGTGCAAGAGGAAATTTCAGGCGTTCTCCTTAACCCACATTCCCAGGACAAAGAACACAAAGGCGGACAAGCTAGCACGGAGTGCTCGAGATCAGCCTTATGATGTGTATTATATTAACTCGGTTCCACCGGTTTCGCTTCCCGAACCGGCATAGAAACTTAGGCTGTTGACAAAAAAAAAATAAATAAATAAAAAATTGCTTTCGTTGAAAAAAAAAAGAGAATATAACAGTAGTCGGATCTCATGAAAATCTATCTTATTATATAAAGCTGGATGCGCGCGACGTGGTTGCGACACGTAGATTTTTATAAAATATAAGATTGCGACATGTGTCACTTTTAATGTTATATCCGTTAAGATCGTGACACATGTCTTCGGAAAAAGGAAATTTTTATTTTAAAGGGAAAATTTTAATATCTTATAATAAAAACGAAATTTTATATAATAAAATGAAAATAATATAATAAAAAATTCCTATTAGTATATGGAATAGGTATGTAAACTAAATATCCTAAAATTGTATGAATAAGTTATATAAATTCCTATTTAAAAAAATCCTATTAGTACATGTAATAGGTATGTAAACTAAATATCCTAAAACTATATGAAATTGGTTACATGAACCCCCTATAAAAAGAGAGCTACTGTAGTCTCTTTTTCTCATTCACAAACTCATCAAAGCAAATTCAGAAAATCTCTTTGATTCTCTTTCTCTAATTTCAAAATCATGTCTTTGAAAGTTCAAGAGAACAGTGGAGATTATTTGACTCTAGGTCAATTGGATCAAAATTAAAATTATTTGAATAAAATCTATTAGTACATTAGGAAAAATCAGAAAACAGGAAACAAACAATTAAAAAGAAAAAATATTACATCCATTATGAGAAGTAAAGAAAAAACATAATTCTATTACGAAAAGGAAAAAAAACGAAAATCAGAAAAACATGAAGAAATAATTAAAAAATGTTACATCCAATAAGAAAAGGAATAAAAAACATATTCCCATTACGAAAATGAAAAAAAAATATATATATAACAAGCTATATTTTTTAAGTTTCTTTCTCATTAAGAAATAAAATTCATGTCTTTAAAAGTTAAAGATATCAATGAAGAATACTTAACTTTAGATCGATACATGTGTCTAATATTTGATGAAGTGATGACATGTGTCAACACAAGAAAATTGGAAAAATGTAGTAACATAAATAAATAAACTAACAAAATAATATTAAAACAACTAACTAATAATGAAAATGAAAATTTATAATGGTCAGAGGCAAAAACGAAATTGAAAAAGAAACAATATAAATAGAAAACTAACAAAATAATTATTAAGGAACTAAATAATATTAAAAAAGAAAATTTTATAATAGACTGATCTTCTAATATTAAATAGTTTAATTTTTCATGTTTTGTTAGGTAAAAAATATTAAAAATAAAGATTTCATCATGGAATAATCAAAGTTTCATAAAATAATGAGTCAATTAGATTTAGACACATGTAAATCTTTCTATTTCATATCATGAATTCAAAATAAAAATGTAAAAGACTACATATCTTTATTTAGAGATTTTTTATCGGGTTTTTAATATTATTTTCTTATTTTTAAAATTGATCAAATTTTGTTTAATATTCTTCCGTGATTTAAAAAATAAAAATAAATAAATCCGCGTATACGCATGACGTGGTTGCGACACGTAGGATTTTTATAAATTCATGATCGCGACATGTGTCACTTTTAAGTTTATGTTCGTTAAGATCGTGACACGTGTCTTAGGAAAAAAAAAGAATTAAAAAAAAATCCAGAAAAATATTAATTAAAAAAAAACGAAATTTAATTTAATCTATTATATCAAAAAGAAAAAAAATAATATTTGTCATATCCAAACAGAAAAGGGTTTCCCATTCATCAAATTATATAATAAGATTGAAAATAATGTAATAAATAAAATCGTATTAGTATATGGAATAAGTACATAAACTATATTTTCTATAGCTTCATGGAATATGTTATATGAATACCTATAAAAAGAAAGTTACAATAGTCCTTTTTTTTCTCATTCACAAACTCATCAAAGCAAATTCATCAAATTTCTCTGATTCTCTTTCTCTAATTTAAAAATCATGTCTCTGAAAGTTCAAGAAAATAGTGGAGATTATTTGAATCTAGGTCAATTGAATCGAAATCGAAATTATTGCCGTACTATAGTACGTATTATTCTTCATGTATCTACCGTCAAAAAGAGATATCTTCGCATATCATTATTTAATAAATTATTATGGTTAATATAGGTTGGAGAAAATTCAAGCAAAGAAGGCATGAACGGTGTTCCTATATGTGTGCGTTCAATTGTTGGGAAAAAAATCTTTGTTCTGAATTAAAGTCAAAGCTTCCGATTTTGATGCATCATATCAAACTTTTACAGTTTCAGAAATCATCGACAAAATATCAAAGGTAGTAATCTTCTTTTTTCTTTAACGATTTTAATACAATATAAATGTTCTCTATGGTGCTATACTGCTATTCCTTATTCATTCAACTAAACTTTTTTTTCTGTGTTCAGACAAGTTTGGAAGACAATGCATGTAAAACGAAGCTTGACGATCCTATTGCTGTTGATGGTCTTCAAAAGAAACAAAGAATTGAGAAGCAGAACTGATTTATGAATTATGATACCTTTTTTTTATTTCTAAGAACATGTTTTCCTGTTTTCGGAAAGTCTACAAGTAACATTGAAGAATTATCAGTTAACATTTATTTGTTTAAAAAAGGGAACACTTTTTAAAGACATGTTTGATTGGAAATTTCAGTAAACAATTATTTTTATTATTACCAAGCGGTGCCAGAGGTTGAGGAAATCAAATGAACGAAGGAGAATTCTGGGACGGTGGGTGATTGGAGACGCCTTGAAAGGTAGCTGATTCATCAGCAAATCCATGACCTTTTAACCTTTTATCTTCTTCTCCATGACCCATCTTTTTTCATTTTCGTCTCAATCACTCTTTCTATGTCAGATTGAAATGGAGAATTTGCAACGAGCTGAAAATTATTTTCTTATAATCCTGAGATAACATGTAATCCTAGAATTGGACCACCATAGCTATTATTATGAGATTTAAAACCACCGGCATAGCAATTTACCAACAATCTCCATCGTTTTGATTTTTTGGTATATATTTATTTTTTTAAATTATGATAGAGTCAATGAAGAAAAAAATTTAATAACATTTTTCTTTAAAAACCCGTGCATTGCACGGGTCCATATCTAGTCTTATTATATAAAGCTGGATGCGCGCGACGTGGTTGCGACACGTAGGATTTTTATAAAATTTAGGATTGCGACATGTGTCACTTTTAATGTTATGTCCGTTAAGATCGTGACATGTGTCTTAGAAAAAAAAATAATAATTAAAAAAAATTAGATAAAGGAAAAAAACAAAAATTTTAATCTTTTATAGTTAAAAGAAAAAAAATTATATTTGTCATATCCTAATAGAAAAAGGTTTCTCATTCATCAAATTTATATTATCCAAACACATATAAGATTCAAATTAATGAAATAAATAAAATCCTATTAGTACATGAAATAGGTTAGGTTTAGTTAATCTTTTATAGTTAAAAGAAAAAAAAATTATATTTGTCATATCCTAATAGAAAAAGGTTTCTCATTCATCAAATTTATATTATCCAAACACATATAAGATTCAAATTAATGAAATAAATAAAATCCTATTAGTACATGAAATAGGTTAGGTAAACTAAATTTCCTATAACTGCATGGAATAAGTTACATGAACCCTATAAAAAGAGAGTTAAAGTAGTCTTTTTTTTCTCATTCACAAACTCATCAAAGCAAACAACATGATAGCAATACGTATGATTTTTATAACTCACAAAATTGCGATATGTGTAATAAAATAATGATAATAAAAAAAGTAACTAATAATGAAAATGAAAATTTATAATGGTCTGAGTCAAAAACAAAATTGAGAAAGAAACAATATAAACAGAAAACTAACAAATTAATTATCAAGCAACTAACTAATATTAAGAAAATATAATAAACCGATATTCTAATTTTAAATAGTTTAATATATTTTCAATATTGTTAGGTAAAAAATTATTAAATAAAGATTTCATCAATTGAAATCTCTTGAATGGAATAATAAAGTTTTGTTGAATTAATTATCAGTTGATCATATTTAGACATATATAAGTCTTTCTATATTGGATAAAAATAAAAATAAAACAAATTAATTCATTTTTTATATCATGAATTAAAAAAAATATCAATTACAATAAAAACGTAAAAAGGTTACCGATCTTATTTTATTTAAATATTTTATCGGGTTTTTAATATTATTCTGTTTACTTTAAAATGATCAAATTTGGTTTAATACTTTTCCATGATTTTATTATAAAATCTTAAAATAAATCCGCGTATACGCGGGTCTTAATCTAGTTACTAATAAAAGTTGACCATATATGCATTAGAGAGTGTCCACCTAGGATTCTAAAACTGTATTTGATTGGTCCACGTCATTATTAGTTTATTTATTGAATAATTAATTTCATGAAAATCTATTACTAATAAAAGTTACCATATATGCATTAGAGAGTGTCCACCTAGGATTCTAAAACTGTATTTAATTGGTCCATGTCATTATTAGTTTTATTTATTGAATAATTAATTTTCTTTTTATTCTTATTAGCAAATTTCCAATATTAGCAAATTTTCATTTTTTTAATATCCATATATTTAAGTATTATTACTTTAACATATAACTTTAGTAAATTCCTATTTTACAAATATTTAATAAATTTTATTTGTTATTATGATATTTCCTTAATACTCAGTTCTATTTTTATTCATATTAAAGTGATAAAAAAATAGAAAAAATAAGATTTCTAATGATATAAAAAGGAAAATTACTTCCTATTTTTTTTTTTTAATTTTGTCTAATGGATGTTTGGAAATTATTAGAAAGATTTGGGATTAAGAGGATTTGGTATAAATCGTGACCTTCAAATACATGCAAACTCTAAAATTCTGAAACGAAATATTTGGTAGTGTGCATATAATTAAGGCAAATGAGAGATAGGGTGATCCGGGTCGGCATGAGGTTCTAGATGGCCTCAAATTTTAAAATATATTATTTTCCAGTAAAATTATTTAATAGTTAAATAAATAAAATAATGATAAATTGAAAAGTCTATTGCTTGGAAGTTTCAAACCATTCACATTGAGAAGAATGAAGAACAACACTGCATATAAGCTAAATGAACATTTAGTAACATGTGGCATTAAAGTTTTATATATCTTTTGGTGTCGTAAATAATTCTATGTTTTACCAGCTTTATGTAGGGCCGAGGGTAATAATATTGATGTAGGATTTATGAATTCGACGAAATTGATTTTCAAGTGAAATTTAATTTAAGACTTTTGAGAAACACTGGCAAAAGAGTCGCATTTATGAATATTCATATTTGCATTTCAAATGTGAAAGTAATGAGTTTCTAATTTCACAGTGATAACTAAACCCAAAATGTGACAAAACTAACCCTTGAACCAAAAATTGGAGATTTAGTTATATATAATTAGAAAAGAAAATTATTAAAAATACTAAATATAAAAATAAAAATTGTAAAGGATTTTGTATCAACGATTTATTTTTAAATGGAAAATTAGAAAATTCATAAAAATTGAATCCGCGCGTAGGGTAAAATACCTAGTAAATTAAAAAAAAAAAACACTAAACTTATGAAGAAGAAGAAAACGGCCCCCAAGCCCCCCGCAAAAAAAACTCTTGTTCGAATTCCGTACGGTTTAAGGGAATGCAAATCATCCTCCACGACCCTGCAACAAAAAGAAAGGAACGTGAAGTGATTGTAAAATCTTAATTAACACTATAAGATAAAATATTAACATGTACTTACTAAAAATATTATAACCCGGAGGATTAGTAACTTTCATCAATGGACCACACCGGTATCCCCATTCTTCTGTGGAATAATGACTAACAATTGGTTCATGAATTGAATGGATTCTAGTATCATCAGAAACGTGGAATGAACAAGAGCTCTTGGCAAGGTCGGCTTCTCTAAACCACGACGGAATCACACCCTTGCTAGACGAACAAGAGCTCTTGCCTTTTGCACCCACACTTATCAATCCCATAATTCCTCCGTGCCATCCGTACTTTAATTCCAATGGCCCTTTAGTATCGTTAATATTCAAGTAGTTGTAGAGTGTGACATTAGTCGAGTAACTACCATTTCTCTCATCCAGCATCAAGTCAAACCTTATCGTCACATTCCCGTATAAATCCGCTGATACATGAGAGGAATGCAAAACCAAAGTCATGGCGCTGGATACGACTCATGTGAGAGCTAGCTATAATTATGTATAACGACAATTACCTCGAGAGTTATAATCAAAACTACGCTCCGATGGATATCGATATTGCTGAATCTCAATCTCTTTAGAAGAAGAATCTTCTTTCTCCAAGGATCGAGCCAATGAAGCCTCCACCAAAAGCAAGATAAAAATCAGTTTAGATACTGAATGTTAGGTAAAAAAATATTAAAAATAATTTCATCAAGTGAAATCTCTTCAATGGAATAATAACAGTTTCACGAATTAATCCATCCATCAGACTTACATATGTGTAAGACTTACACAATGAAATAAAAAGATAACAAATTAATTCATTTTTCGTGTCATGAATTTAGAAAAATATGTCAATTATAATAAAAATGTAGAAAGATTACCAATCTAATATTATTTAGAGGTCTTTTATCGATTTTTAAATATTAATCTACTTACTTTTAAAGTGTCAAATTTATTTAATATTTTTCTATAATTTATTTTAAAAATAGTATAATAAACCCGCGTATACGCGGGCCTAATCTAGCTAGTTTTATGAATTGTGATAGATTAGATAATAATAATTGAAACGATAGAAAAAAAAATTAATATAGTCGGATCACATGATTTTTTTTTGTAAAAAAAACACTAATTAAAACTAACTCTGAGTAAAAGAAGAAAAAATAAACCCACAACTTGATCATACCTCTTCTAGCTCTTCTTCATATCTCGTACTGTTGAAGGGAGTGCATTTCGTCTTCCACGACCCTGAAAAAAAAAAAAGGAAAGTGAAGTGATTGTAAAATCTTAACTAATACTATAAGATAAATAATAAGATGTGTGCCGTACTTACTCATATTATAACCCGGAGGATTAGTTACTTTAATCAATGTACTACACCGGTATTCCCATTCTGGTGTGGTAAAAGATGGAATAACTCTTGGTAATTTAGTAACACCAGACATGTGGAATGAACAAGAGCTTTTGGCAAGGTCGGCTTCTTTATACCACGACGGAATCACACCGGTACCGCCTTTGCTAGGCTTGTCATGTAAGGCCGTGCCATTAAAATGTTGTTGTGTGCCTTTTGCACCATGTCCAGTTCTCATTTCGATTTTCTTTTCGCCCCATGACCAATCTAATTCCAATGGCCCTTCACTATCGTGAATCTTCAAGTAGTTGTAGACTGTGACATTAGTTTTATTACTAAATTCCATAGAGTCCCACCTTATCGTCACATTCCCGTATGGTCCCGCCTCTGAGAGTAAACCAAAACCATAACCAAAATCATGGCATGCACTGGAATCGCTTCTCTACTAATACTATACCATACCTAACACGATTCATGAGAGCTAGCTATAATTATCAAAAACGAAAATTACCTCGAGGTTCATAATAAAAACCACGCAGCGGTGGATGTTGCTGTTGCAGCATCTCAGTCTCTGTTTTGTTGGTTAAAGGGCCTAGAATCTTAGATGAAGAATCTTCTTTCTCCAAAGATTGACCCAATGAAGCCTCTACCAAAACTAAAACCAAAACCAAGAGAAAGATCAGCTTAGATCTTGAATGTGCACTCCACATCGTTAAACCCTAGATTATGCTCTTACGCTTATGCTTCACGCATAAAAGATCTCTTGTTTAGTTTTTATTAATAGATGTTTAACGACCTGTTCCTAATAAGACTGAGCAAAGTATTCGGGATAAGACTAACTAACCATTTTTTTTGTTTCTCGATATAGTTTAATTTTTCTAATATATATCTATTAATATATTACTTGAAACCTCCATGCACAAAAATTATAATCCCGAACTCACCACAAAAAAAAAAAAAAAAAAAAAAAAAAAAAAAAAAATCCCGAAGTGAGGAAGGAGACAGCAAAATCGAAAAATGTATTAAACCGATCGGTTCACGGCTACAATTGTTCCGGTACGGTACAAGGATCGGAAAACGGTCTTTTACTATCAGAAAAATCGAGCGGTCGTTGATATAATGATATTTCGTTAAAAATAATTGATATATTATAGAGGATAATTATCAACATTCTCTCACCTATTACTCACCTATTACTCACCACCTTAGTCATCACTATATTTTATTACTTTTATGTAAATATCTTTCTTTGTAACCGACATCACACTCCTATAAATAGGAGTTGTTTTCTTTTGTTGTAAGTACACACAGAAAACCAGCGAAAGAGTTAGAAGAAAAGTTGTTCCTCTCTCTCTCTCATTCTTTATTTCTGACCCCACCATTCTTTCTTATTATTAAATAAATAATTTATAACATATTATACTGTTTTTACGAGTCTAGATATGTTCAGATCTATCTTTATACTGAAAAGGTGAGACTAAACTCTGTTCAAATTATTTAAAAATTTTAAATTATATTTTGTATGTTCTGCCGGGATACTAGGCTATGCCTATTCCGAGCCGATCGTCATGGATGACTCTGCCTCCTCGATCAAATAAATTAAAACCGGGAAACTAAGCTCTGCTTACTCCGAACAAATAATCACATGGTAGACTATATCTCCTCAAATCATATATATGGAGTGGTAGAGAAACCTTCTCCGGAGTTGATGGTCAAAACCTCCTCCATGTAGCGGAGTTGATGACTATGTCTCCTCCCAAATTTAAATTTCTGCCTTTATATTATGCTCTTTAAATTCAGTCATTTATATTCTCGTTATTTCAATTTATGCTTTTACATATCGTTATTATGCTGAAATTTTCAAAAGTTTAAGTTTTTGTTATTCAGTTATAATGTCGAATTTGACAAAGCTCGAGATCGCCGCCCTTAACATTAGTGGTAACAACTATTTGTCTTGGACGGTAGGTGCAAAGTTGCACCTAAAAGGAAATGGTCTCTTGAGCACTATCGATAAGTCTGGAAAGACGTCCGATGAGCAAAAGGCGAAAGCCATGATCTTTTTTCGCCACCATATACATGATGGTTTAAAAGATGAATACATCACAAAAGAAGATCATGCGGATCTATGGAACTCGCTTAAAGTTCGGTTTGATCATCAAAAATATATGATCTTACCGAAGCGAGGTACGAGTGGTTGAACCTCCGGTTCCAGGATTATAAAAGTGTTGCTGAGTACAATTCCATTATGTACAACATCACTTCCAGGATGAAAATGTGTGGAGAGAATATCAGTGAATTTGATATGTTGGAAAAAACTCTCTCAACTTTTCATCCTGAAAATATAATCCTGCAACAACAATACCGGGCAAGAGAATTCACCTCGTACTCGGAGTTGATGCAAATCCTCCTTGTGGCTGAAAAAAATAATCAGCTTGTGATGTTAAACCATCAGCTCCGTCCAACTGGATCTGCCATTCCCTGAAGCGAATGTTGCGTCATCCAGTCATACTAAAAAGCCTGAACGTGAACGCAGACGCGGTCGCGGTCGAGGTCGTGGACGTGGAAGAGAAAGTGATGATGGTCGAGCGGTAAAAAGAAAGGGTGAACGCACCTGTTACAGATGCGGCATGAATAATCACTTTGAGCGTACATGTCGTACGCCCAAACATTTAGCCGATCTGTACAGGGCATCACAACAAGCCAAAAATAAGGACACAGAGACCAACTTCATCTCTGATGAACCTGGTCCATCCTTTGATGGCTTAAGTGATGATTTTCATCTGGATGTCGCCGACTATCTCGTTGATCTGAAGAATCAACTGAGCCAAAGAAAGTCAAATCGATGATAGTGTCTTCGTAAAGAAGACAAGAATAACAATCTCTTAATCGTTTTTCTTGTATTGTATAATATATCTTTTGCTAAAAAGTTTTTGATGTAATATATTAGCAATGTTTAATATAAAATGTTTCATATTTTATGAATTTGTGGCCCAGATGGTGCCACCTTTTGAGATTAAGGATGGAGATACTTGTCTAGCAGACAGTGCTACGACACATACAATACTCAAAGATAAGAAGTATTTCTCCTATCTCAAAATGAAAGACTCCGCTGAAAGCGTGAGTACTATATGCGGTAGTGCAAAAATAATACTTGGCTCTGGGAGTGCAAGTTTTTCATTGCCAAGGGGAACGAAATTTGAAGTGCGAGATGCACTATATTCCCCGAGTCTCACCGGAACTTATTAAGTTTCCGAGATATCCGCAAAAATGGATATCATATTGAGACTATAAACAAAAATGGCATTGAATATCTTTGCATTACAACGGAGAGGAAACAAACATTGGAAGAATTACCAATGATGTCCTCTGGTTTATATTGCACAAAAATCAACATGACTGAATCTTATGTTGCAGTAAACCAGATGTTTACTAGCACTTTTAGGGTGTGGCATGAAAGACTTGGCCACCCAGGTTCAGTCATGATGAGAAGAATTGTGCAAAATACGAGTGGCCACCCATTGAAAAATGAAAAGATTTTTCAATCGGGGGAGTTTTCATGTAAAGCATGTTCTCAAGGAAAACTCATAATTAGGCCCTCGCCAGCCAAAGTTGGGAATGAATCCCCTGTATTCTTAGAGAGAATACATGGTGATATATGTGGGCCTATTAACCCACCGTGCGGGCCATTTCGATACTTTATGGTATTGATTGACGCATCTAGTAGATGGTCAAATGTGTGTCTTTTGACCACAAGAAATATGGCTTTCGCAAGATTCATTGCCCAAATAATCAGGTTGAGAGCGCATTTCCCTGATTATGCCATAAAGAAAGTCAGGCTTGATAATGCTGGTGAATTCACTTCAGCAGCCTTTAATGACTTTTGTATGTCTGTGGGAATCGATGTTGAACATCCGGTTCCGCACGTTCATACGCAAAATGGCATGGCTGAGTCATTAATAAAGCGGTTGCAGTTAATTGCAAGACCGTTAATCTTGAGAACAAAACTCCCAATCACTGTATGGGGACATGCAATATTGCATGCGGGAGCCTTGGTTCAAGTGAGACCAAGTGCTTATAATGAATTTTCGCCCATACAGTTGGCATTTGGAAATATGCCAAATATATCCCATCTCCGGGTATTCGGGTGTGCGGTCTATATCCCAATAGCGCCACCACAGAGATCAAAAATGGGACCACAGAGGAGATTGGGAATATATGTCGGGTATTCGTCCCCTAGTATAATAAGGTATCTTGAACCGGCAACTGGTGATATGTTTACGGCACGATTTGCCGATAGCCACTTTGATGAAAATGAATTCCCTGCGTTAGGGGGAGGGTCGAGAGAATCACCAAATGATATCACCTGGTGTACACACTCTTTGGCTTATCTTGATCCTCCTTCTAATCAACGCGAGGTGGAAGTTCAGAAAATTATACATATGCAAAGATTGGCTAACCAGTTGCCCGATGCGTTCACAGATACGAAAAGGGTGACGAAGTCCTATATCCCCGCTGCTAATGCTCCATCAAAAATAGAAGTTCCTCATGAACATTTTGATGTGAATAGAGCAAGTGAACCGGTTCAATTAAAGCGCGGGAGGCCTATAGGATCAAAGGATAAATATCCCCGAAAGAAAAAGAATTGTGGAGTAAAGGTTCCTGATGAACCGAAATGTCTTGAAGACATTTCCGAACAGGTTCTTGTAGAACCTGATAAAGAGGTTCGTCAAGATGACGAACCAGAGACAGAAAAATTTGAGATTTCCATCTCCTTCGCCCAAAGTGGAAAAATATGGGCTAGAAGTGAAATAGATGATGATGAAATGTTCTCTTTTTCTGTAGCTAAAGAGATCGATCATGAAAATGATGATCCAGATCCAATTTCCGTGTCAGAGTGCCAAAAGAGGCCGGACTGGGAGAAATGGCAAATGGCCATGAAGAATGAAATATTCTCTCTCAATAAACGGACTGTATTCGGACCGATAATCATTACACCAAAAGATGTAATGCCGGTTGGATACAAATGGGTTTTTGTAAGAAAAAGAAATGAGAAAAACGAAGTCACAAGATATAAAGCTCGTCTTGTGACTCAAGGTTTTTCTCAAAGACCGGGGATAGATTATGAAGAAACATATTCCCCGGTAATGGATGCAATCACCTTCAGGTACTTGATGAGCCTAACGGCCTCTAATAATTTAGAGATGTACCTGATGGATGTTGTGACTGCATACCTATATGGCTCACTTGATAGTGAGATATATATGAAAATTCCTGAGGGATTTAAGATCCCAGAAGGGTCAAAGATGCCTGAAGCATCTAAAGAGCTTTGTTCGGTCAAACTCCAGCGATCACTTTATGGATTAAAACAATCCGGCCGCATGTGGTACAATCGCTTAAGTGAATACTTGTTGAGTAAAGGTTACGTCAACAATGCGATTTGTCCATGCGTGTTTATAAAGAAATCCTCAACGGGTTTTGTGATCATTGCTGTGTATGTTGATGACCTGAACATGATTGGAACTCAAAAGGAGATTGATGATGCAAGAACTCATATGAAAGATGAGTTCGAAATGAAAGATCTTGGAAAGACAAAGTTTTGTCTTGGGCTCCAGATAGAGCATTTCCAAGATGGAATATTTTTGCATCAATCAAATTACACCAAAAGGGTGTTAAAGCGCTTTTATATGGATAAAGCGACTCCTTTGAGTAGTCCAATGGTCAATAGATCGCTTGATGTTAACAAGGATCCATTTCGACCTATTGAAGATTCTGAAGAAATGTTAGGTCCTGAAGTACCTTACATGAGCGCCATCGGGGCACTTATGTATCTTGCAAATTGCACAAGACCAGATATAGCTTTTGCTACTAATCTGCTTGCAAGATACAGCTCATCGCCTACCAGAAGACATTGGAACGGAATAAAACATATATTCCGTTATCTTCAAGGTACGATTGAGTTTGGATTATATTATTCAAGAAACCCCGAGGTTGGTTTAGTTGGTTTTGCAGATGCTGGCTACTTGTCTGATCCGCATAAGGCTCGATCGCAAACCGGTTATGTTTTCACATACGGTGGAACCGCGATCTCTTGGCGTTCCAAAAACAAACTTTGGTTGCAACGTCTTCAAATTATGCGGAAATCATTGCTCTCCATGAAGCATGTAGAGAGTGTATGGTTGAGATCTTTGATCCAACATATACAAGAAGCCAGCGGAGTATCTACAAAGAAAGAGCCAACAACATCTACGAAGACAATTCTGCATGTGTCACTCAACTCAAAGAAGGCTACATCAAGAGCGACAGGACAAAACACATCCCTTCCAAGATTTTTCTCCTACACTCAAGAACTCGAGAAGAATCAAGAAGTGGATATTCAGTATGTTCGCTCAAGTGACAACGCAGCTGATCTCTTCACAAAGGCGCTTCCTACTACAGTGTTCAAGAAACATGTTCAGAGTATTGGAATGCGTCGTCTACAAGATTTGTGAAGAGAAGACTATATCTATTTTCAGGGGGAGTTTGCTTCGCGATACTTTTTTTTTTTCTCATGGTTTTTATCCCAATGATTTTTTCTATGTTAAGATTTTAATGAGGCCGCATGCATCTTCACAGAAATGGATAATTAAGAGGAAGTATTATAGAGGATAATTATCAACATTCTCTCACCTATTACTCACCACCTTAGTCATCACTATATTTTATTACTTTTATGTAAATATCTTTCTTTGTAACCGACATACACTCCTATAAATAGGAGTTGTTTTCTTTTGTTGTAAGTACACACAGAAAACCAACGAAAGAGTTAGAATAAAAGTTGTTCCTCTCTCTCTCTCATTCTTTATTTCTGACCCCACCACTCTTTCTTATTATTAAATAAGTAGTTTATAACATGATAAACTTATTTAACAAATATTTATTGTTTCCGGCAAAAAACAGTAAGCGAAAATTCGGCTGCGACGAGAAATGATCATCTCCGTCTCCATTGTTGCATGATTGCATCATCCCTTTCTCTTCTCCATTCGTCTCATCAGAAATTCTCCGTCGATCTCTACTCGTATCAAAATCCTTACCGGATATGCCCGATCGTTTGCTCCGGCGTCAGAATGGACAGAGCTACGCGGCAGCGGCAGATCCGCCACAGAAGCTAGGGTTTCTCTCGTTCTCGCTCTCGCCTCTCAGGCTTCCTCTGCCTCTCAACGCCGTAAATTTTCCGTCTTCCTTAATCTCCAACTGCTTCTATTGCCGCAATTTGAAGTCCTTCAATGTCAACTCTCTGTTTGGGTTTTGTTTTCTAACAGTCTTGGCTGATTTGGCGGTGGAGACTGCGAAATACGTGTTTCCGAAGAGATTCAATAGCTCAAATCTGGAAGAAGCGTTGATGTCTGGTTAGTTTGTTAGCTTATGATTGTTCATGATTTGGGTTCTTCTTCTTATTTATCTGTTTTGTTCATTGAGTTTTGTGTTATTTCTATGTAGTTCCGGATCTGGAGACGATGAATTTCAGAGTTCTTAGCAGGACAGACAAATACGAGATTAGAGAAGTCGAGGTTGTTCTTTCACTCACACTTGTCTGTTTGCAATATGATCTCTCTCACTTTAAAGAAGTTTGAATTTTGGAAACAGCCTTATTTTGTGGCCGAGACTACAATGCCAGCGGAAAATGGCTTCAAGGTCTTTCAACGTGTTAGCTGAGTACCTGTTTGGTAAGGTAGTATGAAACATTACTTATGAATTTTGCTGCCCCTCTGTTTTGATTCGAATATTGATTCGAATACTTGTGTTTTCAACAGAACACAGTCAATGAGAAAATGGAGATGACGACCCCTGTTGTTACTCGTAAAGTCCAATCTGTTGGTAAAAAAGATGGAAATGATCACTCCAGTAATAATTAGGAAGGTAATATCTATTGAGAGCATCACATTCAGGTTATCAGTTTGCACATTTAGTGCTGATTCGATTTTTACCTTTTACTTGTTCCTAGTCAATTGGTATCTAAATGTTTTGCATGTGTTCTCTTGCTTCAGGCAAAAAGATCAAACCCAATGGCAAATGTCTTTTGTCATGCCTTCAAAGTATGGTTCAAATTTGCCATAGCCAAAAGATTCTTCGGTCAAGATTCAGGAGGTGCCACGAAAGATTGTTGCTGTTGTTACCTTCTCAGGTAAATGATATACTCGATTTCACTTCCACATGACATACCCTTGAGTCCTTGACATGCAGGCACATGTTTGAAGCAAAACCAAAACTTTATTTTCGGGCTACGTTACCGATGAAGAGATTGAGAAACGTGAGCAAGAACTAAGGAGATCTCTTCAAAATGACAAGATTTTTCGAGTGAGAGATGGAGTTTCAGTTGAAGTTGCACAGGTTCATCAACAAATCACTGCTATAAATGTATTAAAATCCAATCTTATTTCTTAGACTCTCTACTTGACACTTTGCAAATTCATTACTTGCAGTACAATCCACCATTCACTCTCCCGTTTACCCGCCGCAACCGCAACGAGGTCTCTCTCGAAGTGGAAAGCAAAGAAGATTAGCACCTTCGCAGGGACATACATTAATACATACGTATAATACATACATACACACAGTTGTATACAGTACAATAGTTGTTGTGCTAAAGACAAAACGCGTGTACTTGAATAGTTGGAATGTGAGTAGTAAATTATTAATTCTTCTTCACCCACCATTATGGATCTTTACTCTGCTTATAGGCCACTATAGATGGCTATTATAGGCATATACGCTTTGAAATTAGCCCAAACAAGCACTCACACTTTTTACCTTTTGGAAAATTTCATCTTAACAAAATTTACACACTTTTTTGGATTTTAATACAAATTTTGAGCTTTCTGAAAAAAAAAGATTACATCTATTACTACTTGGAACAGTATTTCTGGGAATTTTACATGCTTTCTTGAATTATCTTTGAGTCTTTGTGTTATCTATATATACACATGTATGTGTCATAATATGTGTAGATATGGACATGCTATAGGCTAATCAGATTCAGGAATGCTATCTAACAAAGGCCTCCAGCCTCTAGTACACTCATCATCATCATCATCATCATCCTCATCCTCATCACACATATGTTGCTTAGCAAGATTCTTATAAACAATCTATTGAACTGATCCTCCCTGAAGCAGCTTTTCAAGCTCTTGCTTACTCACAACCATCTTCACCCTCACAACACTAGCACGTTTATCCTTGGTGTTGTCACACCAGGCCCGCCCAGCCATAAGGCACATGATGCATTAGATTTAGGCCACCATGATATTTAGTGTTTTTTAGGGCCACAATTACATGTAGCTGAAATAGCATAGTTGTTATGACAGATGATTTTAACATTCCCTGCATGAGTTCGAACCCAAGATAGATCCCAAATTTATAGTTTTGAAATAATTTTTTTTTTCTAGGCCACATTTAAAAAAAAATCTTTAGGCCACATAATATCTCGGGCCGACACTGTGTCACACAATCTGTAAATCTATCTATCTTCTTCTTCTTCTTCTACTTTCTTCTCCACCTCTGGATTTGCAAACCTGACTTTCTTCATCGTCGTCTTCTTCTTCTTGATTGTGGCCATCTCCTTGGGCATCAGATAGTAGAGATGACCACAGAGAAGCTTGGATTGTGGATGAAGATGACAGTTGTTGGAGAGGGAGTCGAAGAGAGAGTAGTGATTTGAGAATTGTGTCAGGATGTGATGAACCTTCTTGGGTCCTCTGTATTCAACTACTTTGCCATCATCTCTCATTATCTTTATCACTTTTTTCTCCATTACTATACAATTCCCCATCTTTTTTTGTTTGAGTTTTTGGAGTTTTTTTCCCTTACTTTAGTAATTTAGGTTAGTGATTTCTTATGTGTAAATGTGTTTGGAGATTTTTTCTCATGTTTGAGTTTGGAAATTTGTGTTTGTATAATTTATAGAGTTTAGGTTATGAAAATACCTTTGCCTTCTTGAGAGTATTACGAGGACTGCCATTATCTCAGGTCGTCCAAGTCCATTTCGTCACCATTGAGCACTTCTGTGTCTCCGTCTGATTGGTTTGGACAATCCTTGTCTTTCATGAGCAGCTGGGTGTCTCTCCCTGATAGCATTAGGTATTCTTGGAGTTTATCCACGCCCTCTCTCCTCCATAGCAGCTGGTGTCGTTGCCCAATTGGTTTAGGCTTGCTTCGTCTTCATTCAGTAGCTGGATGTTGCTACATGATTGGCCCATCTTAGAAGCTGCTGTGTATCTCCATTTGATTCGTCCATTTCTGGATAAGATCATCCAATAAGAATGCTTATCCACGGCCTCACTCTCTCCTAGCAGGTAGTGTTGACGCACGATTGGTCCAACACAATTTCGTCCCATTCCAATAGCTCAATGTCTCTACTTGATTGGCTGAATGGTTTTGGCTCCATTGTAGTAGCTGCATGTCTTCTCCATATTGGTTATGATCATCCTTATCTTCTCCAAGTAGCTGGTGTCACCACTTGATTGGCTTAGAACAAGATTGCTCCAATGTACGTTTCCTCGTCCAGAGGGTTTCGTACGTTTCCCTGTCCGGAGGGTTTCGTCCCCGTCGTGCTTGAGAATTAAAATCTCCTATTTTAATCCTTCTCTCATTTCCATGTTTCTGAGCTTCCACATAGTTGCTTGGAAATGTGCGGAATACCTCCATCCCGAACATTTACGTTTCTTGCAGTCGTTGCGGGATAGATCTTGGGCGTTCGTCCCATCTCTCAATCTGCTCGTCCGATTTGCATTCTGCTTCGACCAAACTTCTTAGAATGGTCTCTTATGTCGTCCAAACTCTTCTCTTCTTGATTTGGAGAACTTTGATATTTCGTCGTCCTGTTGACTCTTCCCATGTTCGTACAATGATCGTCCCACCTGGACAATCTTGCTGTATCTTCACTTCTGCTCGATCGTTCTTGATCCTGTCTTGATCCAAGTCTTCGTTGTGATCTCTGGATTAGATCCCACGTCTTTGTCTTCCAATCCCAGAGTGTTGATCTTCCCATCCCGGCCTTTGGGATGTTTTAGGTCTTGATACGGGGTATCACATTCTCCCCCCCTTAATAGAATTCGTCCCCGAATTCCAGTTGTAGAGAGTGGGAACGTTGCATTGTTCCGGTTTCTCTCTCCATCTTTGAAGATGCCTTGGCTCCTCTTACTCTGTCTTCACATTGTCTCCTTGCAGACTCCTCTTACTTTGTCTTCACGTTGTCCCCTTGCAGACTCCTCTTTCACTGATCTCCTCTGATCCTCCTTGCTCAAATCTTCATTCCCATAACCATCCATCCCGGCTTTAACTATGGGTTATATAATGTCAAAACCGTACCTTACCAACACTGCCTTGTTGGTATTGATCCCGGTCTGACCACTCTAGCGAGGTTCTCCTAACTTCGCTAACCACCTAATCACTTACTCAAGGATTTTTCCGCA